TTAACCACGCGTGAATATTTGGGTTGGTGTCCCTGGTTGGGGTCTCTGGTTGGGGTCCCTGTTTGGGGTCCCTAGTTGGAGTCCCTGGTTGGGGTCCCTATTTGGGATCCCTTCGTTGGGGTCCCTGGTTGGGGTCCCTATTTGGGATCCCTTCGTTGGGGTCCCTGGTTGGGGTCCTTGATTGGGGTTCCTGATTGGGATCCTGGTTGGGGTCCCTGGTTGAGGTCCCTGGTTGGAGTCCCTGGTTGGGGTCCTTGATTGGGGTCCCTGGTTGCCATTATAAATGTTAATCTTATTGTTATTATCATTAAATAATTATTACTATTATCATTAATAGTAATACTAGAACAAGTATTAGATTTTCATTACTACTATAATTTTCAGTAATTACCATTATTATTAATATTACTGTCATTATCACAACTATTATTATATTACTATTATCATCACCATTACCATTATCATTTTAGCTGGTGTCTGTAATTTGGATCTGACTAAATCGGGGTCTTTAATTGGGTATTTAATTGAGGTATTTAATTCGGTCTTTGAATAGGGTTTTTAATCTTTAATTGAGGTTTTTCATTAAGGCCTTTCATCGGGGGTCTTTAAATAGGGTTTTTTATTTTTTTTTTTTATAATTGGAGTCTTTAATTGAGGTTTTTGATTAGGGCCTTTCATCGGGGGTCTTTAAATAGGGCTTTTATTATTATTTTTTTATAATTGGGGTCTTTAATTGAGGTCTTTGATTAGGGCCTTTCATCGGGGGTCCTTAAATAGTTTTTTTTTTTTTTATAATTGCGGTCTTTTGGCTAGAATTATCGACGAAAATTGTTTGTTTGTTTTATGGGAGGCCTTGTGTTGAGAAAGGGAGTGGGTGCTCTACTCTAAGTAATTCTTATATTTTCTCATTATCTATCTATTTATCTATCTATTCATCTATTTTCATCTTATTTCTTTATTTTCAGTGACTTTCAGTTCGGGTTGTACGCTGTGAGTGAATCGTGTTATCGGAAGGGGGGGGGCGGACTCCTGCTGTCATCGGGCGCAGGAAGAACACTCGATCTGTTGGGTGAAAAGGGACTCGTTGGGCGAGATAACCTTGGCAGGCAGTAAGCGATGAAAGTGAAAATGAATGACTTTATAATTTGATTTGATAATTTATATACACGCATGTACATAAATTATCACACACACGCGCGCACACATTCACATGCACAAACACACACACACTCACATGCACAGACACGCACACACACACGCACTCACTCACACACACACACAAACATACACACACGCACGCACGCACGCACACAATTCCTCGTCGCGGCGGTCGAAAAAAATGCCTGCGCTCTGACTGCTGGCTCGAGCCCGAGAAAACGACATATCGCCTTGTGAAGTCAAACGCAGGTGTCTTAGAGGAAGTCGCCGCCGTGGCACAAGTGTTAGCGCGCCGAAATGCGGTTGATTAGGAAGGGCATCCAATCAGGCAAAGGTGACACCTCTCAATAGTGAATTGAGAGAGGCCTGGATCCTGCAGTAGAATGAAAAAAGAAAGAAAAAAAGAAAGAAAGAAAAAAATACACATACACACACACAAACACACACACACACACACACACACACACACACACACACATATATATATATATATATATATATATATATACACACACACGCACATATATATATATATATATATATATATATATATATATATATATATATATATATATATATATATATATATATATATATATATATATATATATATATATATATATATACACACACACACGCGCACAGATATATATATATATGTATATGTATATAATGTATGTCTAATTTTCCCTTTTATCTATATTTTCTTTATCATATTTTCTTTCGTCTCTATCCAAACGTGTGGATAGATCGCTGTTAGAAGAGTGAATTTTCTGAGCGATGTGAATAGGCTATATGACGGTTTATGGAGTCCTTCCCTCGTGCCTGAAATTCCTGGGTTTCTGACCGGGATTCTTGCGGGAGGATGGATTTTTTTCCTTTTCTTTTCTTAGCTTTTAAAGTGTAATAAGTGTGACGTGATAGGTAAATGACAGGTAAGTGATAGGCTGGAGCAGAGGTAGTGGGCGTGGTTATGAGAGATCTGGGCGGGTAGCAGATGTATGGGAGTGAGGTCTCGTTAAAAAAGGGGCGGGGTCAGAGGAGAAGGGGAGGGGTTTCCTCGGTCTCACGCACAGGCTTGCCGTCGACGCTCAGTTACCGCCGAGAGACGAAAGAGGAGAGGTATCACGCCTCTGACCGGCCCTGTCCCGTGTATACGCTCCCTCTCTCACTCTCTCTATAGCTTGCAGTCTTCCTCCCGAGCGTTGTCGAGTCAGCTGTGCTTATACTTCGGGACTGTGTATGGTCGGAAATTGAGGCTGTCATTTTTATTTTTTTTTTAGGGGAGGGGGTTCATTTGGGGGAATGGTTTAACTTGGAGCGAAGGAGATGGTTGTGCCTTTCAGAAACACGCTGAATTTAAGGGTGTGATTGACAAGGTGTTTTCAGAAAAAAGAGAGAAAGAAAGAAGAAAAAAAATACGAAGGACAGCAGAAACAGGCACAAAATAAAAAAAGAATTTCAGAAAAGGAAATAGCAAACAGACAACAGAAGCAGGAAAGCTAGAGAGATAGAGAGAGAGGAGAGAGAGAAAAAAAAGAAAAGAGAACAAGGAAAAAAAATTGAGCAGAAGAAGGCATTTTATAGTCCACGTCATCACCAAATCCCCTAAATTAATTCCCTGAAAGTGAGGATAAAACACTCGCTTTTCAAATAATTTCATCCAAGGTGAAGCTCTGATCAGTAGGCCCAAAAAATCGAGAAAAAAATAAAGAATAGAAAGAGGAGGAAAAATAAGGAAGGGGATTAAGACGGACGAAAGACGAAAGAGCGAAGAGAGAAGGTAGAGAGAGAAGAGAGAGACAGCGTTTCAGTCTCCCCTCTCTCCTCCTCCTCTGCACACGCACGTTTCCATCTGACTGACGTCTTTCAACAGCCAAGACTTCAGCTTTCTCGTCGACGTCTTGAAGAGTCTTCGCTTTTTTTCGGTAGCATCGCTACTTTATCTCTTTATCTCTCTCTCTCGTTCTCTTTTTTCATGATGACGCGGTTTAGATACTAAATTGCAATTAATTTACGTAAGTGAAAACAAAATTAAAAAATAAGAAATATCGCATCTACAAACGACAATCAGACACTCGATGGGAAGTGAGTAGAGGGTTTTTCCTTCGAGATTTCCCCGAGTCTCAAGACGCGATATTCGAATTCGCCCAAGACAAGAGCTCTCGAGGCGCTGCGATGGCCGGTGATCGCCGTCCTCTCCCCTCGCCCTGCGGGGCTCTGAGCGGCAGCGGGGCCCTCGGCGAGCACCAGGGGGCACTCGCGATGTAAGGGGGAGAGAGAGAGAGAGAGAGAGAGAGAGAGAGAGAGAGAGAGAGAGAGAGAGAGAGAGAGAGAGAGAGAGAGAGAGAAGGAGGCCCTCCTCAGAGATCCAATCAGCCACCATTCGACCACGAAACCGCTGCTCAAGATGGACCTCTTCGACCAGGTGCTCGACTTCGAAGGGGAGTTGAACGCAAGCCTCCGCTACGGCGCCTTCGACGCCGCCAACGACTCGAATGCGCTGGACTACGCCGTCGACGCCCCCAACGCCACCTTCGCGTTCGGCCTCAACGCCTCGAGCAACGAGACCAAGTGGGTCGAGAACGAGTACAACCTTCCCCTGTGGCGAGAGCTCATCTGGTCCTTCGTGTTCGGCTCCATGGTCCTGGTGGCCACCGGCGGCAACCTCATCGTCATCTGGATCGTCATGGCCAACCGCCGCATGCGCACCGTCACCAACATCTTCCTCGTCAACCTCTCCGTCGCCGACACGATGGTGTCCACCCTCAACGTCGTCTTCAACTTCACCTACATGCTCAACCTCCACTGGCAGTTCGGCCTCGTCTACTGCAAGATCAGCCAGTTCGTGTCCATCCTGTCCATCTGCGCGTCCGTCTTCACCCTCATGGCCATCTCCTTCGACAGGTGAGTACGAGGGGGCGCCGAGGAAGGCGCTGAGTGGGCTGGAACGGGGGTGGGGGGTGGGGGGGAATGGTGGGGAGGGGGAGGCTGCAGGACGGAGGGGGGGGGGGGTGCAAGGGACGACTGATGAAGGACAAGAGGAGTGACGCTGAAGGCTCGCTGTTCTGTCATGCGCACGATCACCGAGAGGCGTGAGAAGAATATGAGAATAAAAATCGAATGACCCAATTATTTCTCTATAAAAACTTCTCTATAAAATCTGTAAGTTTTATGCAAGCAAATGAAGAACTTGCAGAACTACTACTAATGGAAATCATGTACAGACACACTCACAAAAATAGAAGTAGGCAAGCGCAAACGCGCCCAGGCACAATAACAGATACCATTAAAATCACGAGAAACGCTATGAGAAATATTCATGCGAACTGCTCACCCTAACACAAGGGCGCGCGAGTGTGTAATGATGCAGTTCGAAAACCCTCAAATTACAGAAAATAAAAAGAAAAAGAAAGAAAGAAAGAAAAGAAAATCTACACAGACTTTTACTTTTACCAGTAATCATTAAAAAATAAAGATAAAAAAAAGAAAATGGAAGAACAAAGAAATAATAATAACGACAATAATAAAAAAAAAGTTACTGATCAATATCCGGCGAACAGGTGTTATTTGCTCGATCATTAGCGCTGGCCTGTTCTCACAATGGCTGCTCGCCCTCGCCGTCAACGCTGGTCCGCGCTGTCACTTCATCTCTCTGTCACGGCCATTGCACCCATGTCAAGCATTCCCTTGTTGCATTCCTCTCTGTCAGTTTAGGCACTTTTCCTACTCTCTTTTGCATTTTACCTCAATTTTTAAAATATTATTAATGTCTTTTTCTCGCAATCCTTCATTTTTATTCTTTTCCCTGTCAGTGATATATTTTTCACTTTGTAAATCTT